AAACCAGAATTTGTTTTATTATTATTTTTAGGCAAGTCCCTGTATATTCAAAGGATGTATGAAAATCTGGAAAGAAATGTTGAACAGGGAACAGCTTATAAAAAGTGCATTCGCCTCACCGAAAAGGAAATCGATTACCATCAAGTTCTCAAGTCTTTGTACGACACTCCAAAGCAAAAAGATATTAAGGTTTTTCACCTTGATGTAACATCTTCGGTAAGGGGTGTCATAGATAAGTACATTTAAATATTTACAATGTTATGTAAAGAGTGTGTACTATTTGTCATTCAGTTTAGAAGTGAAATCTCATATATTGCCTAGTTATAATATAAAGTGATAAATAATGCCTTATTTTTCTTGTACTTTTGATGATCATGGCTTAAAGAAAAAGAAAAACCCAAATAAATAAATTGAACAGTACAATGATCATTACTAACAGAGAACAATAACATATGGATGGTCCTCACATACACATTCAATACATTCATAGTGCACATGTAAATTAAAATTTATATCCTGTATAGCACTTCTGGATAGATTCAAACAAAATTTTGTTGCTTTGTACTTATAATAGTGTAATGACAATAAAGTTGAATTCTATTCTTTTCTATTCTAGAGAAAAAAAGTGCAAGTTGAAATGTTGGCCTTCAGTTGAATGGGGCTTGTTTTGCAATACTTATCATATTAAGGGCGAGTTTCACATAAGCAGGTAGGTGTTGTGAAACCCTTGTACCAGCTAAAAAATGAAATCAGTATCTGCATAAAATCTATCATCTGAAGGAGGCATGAGTTGCTCCAAATTTCCTAGTGTATGGCTGTGATTTGGGTGTCGGACAGAAAAGTTGACCAAAGACACCAGATGATATGGAACCAAAATCCTCACAGTGAAGCACCCTTAAGTTGTTGAATGGAATTTGCTTGCCATTGCAAAAATAAGACCACCTGTTAATAGTAATAGTTTAATTTTATTGATCTCACACTAGAGAAATTTTGCTCTGCATTGAATCCATCTTCTTGGGGAGCAGTGGGCTGCCATTGTGTTGTGGCTGGGGAGCAGAGTGGGGTTAAGGGTTTTGCTCAGGGACCTAAAGTGCAGGCTGTGGGATTCAAACCGGATACTTGCGACCTTCTCAGAGCACAACCACACTGCTTTAACCACCAGGCCAACACTCCCCCTGTTGGGATCTGCAGCTGTACCAGACCAGAATCTCACTTTATCTGCCTTCATCGACTCTGGCTGTGAACGTAATTTGATAGACTCCAACCTGGTTCAGCAGCTACAAATCGAAACTATCCCTTTAACCAAGCCTCTTAGTGAAATCGATGGGAAGAGACTCCACCAGGTTACCCACCAAACACAACCTCTCGAGCTGTTGATCTCAGGTAACCATCGTGAAACTTTGACATTTTTTGTTCTTCCCTCTGTATGTTCTCCCTTGGTGCTTGGTTTTGAGTGGCTGGAACGACATAATCCCCATATAAACTGGGCTGATCGCCATACTGAGTCATGGTCGACCTCATGTCACGAAAGATGCCTTCGTTCTGCAGCTCCCGCTGTAAGGTCTCCTAGAGGCGGGGGGGAGATGGACTCTCCTGACCTTTCTTCTGTCTCGTCCGAGTACCATGATCTGGCTCCTGTCTTCAGTAAGATCAGTGCTACGTCTCTTCCACCTCACAGACCATATGACTGTGCGATTGAACTATTACCTGGAGCTCCCCTGCCCAGCAGTAGACTTTACAACATTTCCAAGCCCGAACGAGAAACTATGGAAAAATATATAAATGAGTCCTTAGCTGCTGGAATAATCCGTCCCTCTTCTTCTCCGCTGGGAGCTGGTTTCTTTTTTGTGGGCAAGAAAGATGGTTCTCTAAGACCTTGTATCGACTACAGAGGCCTTAACCAAATAACAGTTAAAAATTAATACCCACTTCCGTTACTAGCATCAGCCTTCAAACCAGTACAAGGGGCTACTGTCTTCACTAAGCTCGATTTAAGGAATGCTTATCACCTTCTCAGGATTAGAGATGGTGACGAATGGAAGACAGCCTTCAAAACTCCT